GCCCTTATGACCTTGTAAACAGTTGATGCATATGTTATTATTTTTTACGAATGTCCATCGATGTTCGATTGGTAATTCCTTGAAGTAATTGCAACTGTACAAACGGTGGTCCTTTTTGCAGTATTGACAAGTTTTGTTGAATGGGACCTTCTCAGTATCTTCCCTTGTGTTGGTGTGGAACGCCTTAACCTTTAGTTTCCCCTTGGGTTTTAATTTGCCTTGAGGTTTTTGTTCCTTCCCTTCGACTCCACAAGCATTTTCTAATGCTGTTACTTGTGCAGCAAAGTAAGTTCTGAGTTGAGCAAAGGAAGGATAAGTCTTTGAGTTCCCTAGTGATCTTTCCCATTCTGTTCGTGTTTGCTCGTCTTGCTGCTTTATAATCTGATGTACTCCTAATGCCTCCCATGGGTTTTGGATTTCAAAGAGATTAAGTCCCTCGATGATGTCTCCCACATAATTTATCATCTCGTCTAATTCAATGGCTGATCGTTTTCTAGATGGAGTCGTTTTCAGCATTTTTTGTAAATGTGGATTGACTGCTAATCTAGGACTATCAAACTTATCTATCAATTTCTTCCATGCTATGTTGAGGGAAGTATTTTGTAATGATAGTCTGGATATCATTTTAAATGCTGATCCTTCTAGAGTGGAACGCAGATAATGGAACTTTTGTACATCACTCAACTTACTGCTTTTTAATACAAGTGATTCAAACAGGTCCTTGAATGATGGCCAGGCCATGTAATCTCCTGAGAATTTAGGAATCGGAATGTCAGGAAGACGGTTTATTTCCTTAGTTCTTCCTTCCGTTACTGAAGTCTCTTCTACCTTGTTTACTGTTTTTGGTGTCACATTGAGTTCGCGACACAATTTCCTTATTTTACTTTGTGCTTCAATGTGGCACTGGATCTCTTCCCCTTGTGCATTTTGCGTGAAATAATCATGTGTGATGAAAGTTGATGGCCAAGTTGTTTCAATATACTGATGTTCCTTATTGAACGTTTTGTGAATTTCATCAATGGCTTCCTTTATACATATTATTTCATCAATGTCTGCGTCTAAATGAGATAAGGGAAGACTTCCTATCAAGGTTTTGATCGTTGCTATCCTATTGAACTGTCCTGCTGTCTTAAGCATATGTTCGTCAGATAGTTTCTCCTTGGTAGCACTACGAGTGACTCTTGTTCCACTCGCAATTGATGCTGCCACTTCATCACTGCTTTCCCTTGTTTGTTTCTTCTCTGTGTTCGACATTTTTCAATTCCCTGTGCTTATAATATTAGAGAATAATTAATTAGTACTTACAGTGATGAATCTTGATTCTTGGGTAATAGGTGGATGGTTAAGATATTTTTTCTATTACTTGATATTTTGATTACTATGATGATTTGTTCTCTTAATTGTATCAATACCAACCAATACACCAACCTTTACTAATCCGGCTCGAAGGACCAAATGTTCGGAAATTACTTCCACAATTCAACTCGTCAGCCAAACGTGTAATAATCAACTTAGAACAATAAAACCCACTAGATGTTATGTGGGGTTGCCGGGCAAGTAAAGGGTGAATGCACTGATTAATAATTAACACAAGTCTTTAGTATTTCTATTTATTTAAATTGAATTACAAAGGTGAATTACAAATGAACTTGGTTTTCTTAATAATCTTGTAGTGTTGAAATAAATTACTTGTGTATGAAGCAGGTTATAATCTATTAAATATTATCACTGGAGGTTATGATTGCTGTGGTGCGTTAATTGAACGCGGCACTGTTGGCAAGTTTATTTCACACGTGTGCAGTCAACTCTAGTGTTGGGCGTAAGAGCGCCAAGTAGAGGTTATGTGAAGTTTTGCGCCACCTGTGGCGGGAACAGCTTACTGTTGGAGTGATTAATAACCACAGTGGTGTTATAGCTGGTTTGCGCTAATGTATGTCCGGGAAGCTTGCGAAGTTGGACATTAATTCGTCCTTCCGTTCTTAAGCCAAGAAATCAAGAATGAGTACTAGCTGTAAGGACTTACTTGCAGTGTATCGTGATTTTCTTTGTCTCTCTTTGCTGGCTTGTTATTACGTTCCCTCGCAATGTGGCAATTAGAAGGTTCCTTTTGATTCTCAATCAAGGTTGCAAGTCGTCAGATCCTATGCAATTTAGTCTTGATGAAATTGAGTCAACTGTATACTATTTCACAATCGTAGAAAGAACTTCTTATTCAAACTCAGCTAGCTAAAGCGACTTGTCTCTCTGGTTTTCCTCCGTGAGAGTGCTTCGTGACTTATCCAGTACTGTAAGGAGTATTTGGAAAGAGTAAGTGATTTTCTCGTTGCGTTACCGTTTTCTATCTTCAGCGCTTCACTGGTCCCACCCCGCTAGGAACTCCCTTTTCTATTAATTAACCAATCAGATGTCGTTCTAAGACAGCATAATGGATTATGCACGCCTTCATCTCCACTTCCTTCCGAGTTCACTTCCGAATATGCTAATCAGAGAAGTGTCGGAAGTGGGGAGTTTTTGCTATTGGTCATCTCTTCTTAATTGCTTCTCCCTTCTCTGGGACTTGGCTAGATGAAGGGTCCTCTTGGGCGTGGTCAGTTTTGGAGGCGACCGACCAGATGTGATTGACACAGAAGGCAATGCATGTGTTGTCTTAATAAGCCTAAGCGTTAATACAAGTTGTAGCACGTTTGGGACTTTTGGGTTGTAATAAATGAAGAAGTGTTTTGTACTCGATATTTCATATATCGAGTGGTATTCGTTTGGAATTTGCACGAAGGTTTTCCGCAATAAACTTATTTTCTTCACTGCTCTGTAAAGCAAAGGGCACGTTCCACTGGAGTTTTCCAGATGTTTTATGACACTAGTACAAATAATTATAAGCAGAAGAGTCTGAGTCCTAATGTGAATTTTACGATATCGCTTGCCAGATGTTTTATTGCATTTTACTTTCTCGCATTCTCAAACAACCTTGGTTTCTCGACCTCCGGGTGACTGGAATTCCGAGCAAACATTATGTTGTCTCATCGTTTAATACATATACATACATTTGAACTCCAAAGTTTACATACATGCCTTGCAGTAATGATTATTTCGTTGCAATTATTATTTTTAATATCATTTTTAAATAAATTAAGATTTAATATTAAAACTGAGCAGCTATATTTAACTAAAATTTCTCTTAAAACAGATCAATTTTGCAGTTAAAATTATACGATATAATTTATAATAATAATAAAATAAAATCCTTCGATAAACTAATTAAATGTAGCACGTTGATAGATTACTAAAAATGTCAAATTTGTTAAGTCATTTAACAAAATTTTTCAAACAACCTTTTAGTTATAAAAGTTCCAATGGATTTATAGGTATTAACCATCAATGTAATAAAAAGATCAATATAAATCGAATTGTTTTGTTTTATTTGACATTTAGAAAGAATTTTTAGATTTCATGAAAAAAATTTAATCTGTTATTAACACTTGTAATTCAAATTTTTTGCATAGAATTAATACAGAAATGTAACCATCATTATAAAATAATTTAGAAGTTTTTATAAAGTTTTAATAAATAGAAGGAAATAGCTTAAAAAAACATTAAAAAGTGTTTTTTAAAAAATTACAAAAACATAAGTATTTTTAAGAAGCTTTTTAAAAACATTTTAAATTAGAAGCAAATCTTTCGAGTTAAAACTTTATAAAACACATTCTTTTGCACAATATATGATTTTGCATATATATTATTATATATCATAAAAATACAATATATATCATTTTACATATTTTATTCATTTGTTTTAAAGCATTAGTGATAAATCTAATACCATTTATCGAAATACTAAAATAAGGAAACAAAAATTTTAAAAAAATCAAAATGAAAAATATTACGGAAATAAAACGTTTAATAATTTAGAATGGAAAATCCACTAAAATTTGATTTTTAAAACTAAATATTTAATATATTATAAGATGTAAAATAAATAAGGCTTAGAAGAAAACCTACAATGTTAGAAAAAATAAAATAAATAATATCACAAAAAGAAATACCAGAATTATAATAAAAATAATTATACATTTTAAAATGTTTTCAATACATTATAATACCAAACTAAAACTACAATATAAATATAAAAATCTAAAGGAAAATAATCATAAAATCATATAAAAAACAAAAGTTCATTATAAGCATGTGTGCATATATATACATATATATATATATGTATATATATATATATATATATATATATACCTTGTGCATATATGCATATATGCACACATAAGTAATGCAGCTTTTAGAATACACAATAGAAGATTAAATGCATTGGCTTTATGAATTCGGATGATTTTAATTTGGAATTTTTGCTATGAATACTACGCGATCGTACGCATGCATACATATATGTGTGTGTGTGTTTGCATGCGTGCATAGAGAAAGAAAGTTCGGTTTTCATTCGGAACCAAAATCTTAAACATTAAGTGTACAAGACTCGAAAAAATATAATACGTTCTTTACTATTTTTTAATATATTTTAAGTGTATTGCTTCAGTAATAGTATAAAAAAATGAAATATTAACTGTAAAATCTATAAATATAAACTGTACAGTTTATAAATATTAACAATATATCCATATAAATAAATATATATTAAAAACTATTGTTAATATAAATAGTATATTCTATAATTGTGTATATAATACAATGTCAGAAGACGAAGATACAATTGTTTTACTAAAAAATGTAAATTGTAATACTAATTCTTCTATTTTGAAACCACCACTGAAAGAATATCCATATATTTCTTTAAAAAAATTAATAAAACTATCACCCATAAACACAAAAAATTTAACTCCATTAACCACTGAAAATCAAAATATTATAGTACCAATTGTAGCTGTATTGGCAGGAATTTCATTTGGATATGATATGGGAATTGGCAGACAAATTGCTCCTTTGGTAAAAGGTGAATTTGTACTTGATTGTAAAGAAGAAAGTATGATTGTAAATATATGGTTTATTGGATGTTTGTTGGGTGCATTATTTGGTGGTAAGTTTATTTTATTTAATTTATTTGTATATATTCAATATGATATTTATTATTTCAATGATTAAATATTACAATAAATGAAACATTTTATGCTGAGCTTTAAAATATAATTATATAAAGAATTATATTCTTTAAACTATTTTTATGCATTCTTATTTTTTTTCTTCTGATTATTTTACATTATTGTTATACATAACTATTCAATGGACTTTACTTTCTAATTAATTTGATTAATATTCCAATAATTCATCAACAACTGTAATTTTAATTATATATACTAAATTAAATTAAAAATAATGAATTATAGATGTAAATAACTTACAGGTATTTTAATAGATCAATATGGTCGTAGATGGACTATGATTTCTACAATGGTATTCTTAACATTTGGTTCACTATTATCAGCTTTATCAAACCATTACATTCTATTTTTGATAGCAAGAATGATTTGTGGATATTCTGGAACTGTTTCTGCAATTGCTCATTGTATCTACATGTCTGAAATTTCAATTTCTAATAGACGAGGATGCAACATAACTTTACATCAATTAGGTGTTGCAAGTGGATTACTGCTTTCTGTTATAGCAACAGAAAATAAAAATTTAGACTACCAATGGCGATTGACTATTGGTCTAACAGCAGTGTCTTCAATGATTACTTGCATTATCACAATTATATTTCTTCAACGATCACCATCTTTTTTATTACTAAAAAAAGTTGGAAATATTAAAGTATCACTAAATAATTCTTGCTGTTATGTTTTTGAAGTTCTAACAATTATGATAATCATGCTTTCTCTTAGCCAAGGAACTGGAAGGCAACAAGTTTTATATTATGCACCAAGATTATTTGCTCTTTTAGGAATATGCACCAGTAAGTGGTCACATTATAATTTTTATTTAATAATAATGAAGTTTATATAAACAATAATTTTATGTTAATTTTAATTCATTACTTTTAAACAAAAATTTCAATATATATAATATTGTTTCTTAATTGGAATTATATGGCTATGTTTATTAATATTTCACATGTGTATCATGTATGAAGTCATAATTTTACTACCATAAGTTATTATTCTAAGATTTTTTATTTTAGATATTGCCAAAACGACAGCAATGATTGCTCTTGGGATTGTTAGAGTATTCAGTACTATTTTATGTCTAATTGTCATTGAAAGATGTGGACGTCGAACTGCATTAATAACATCGGCTACTATCTGCATGATATCTGCATCTCTTTTATCCCTTCTAGCAACATTAGATAGAGGTGACGAATTATTAAACTTTTCAAATGAATCTTGCAACATAATCATAAACAATAATTTAAAAAACGAATTAACAAATAAAATAAAATCTATTTCACTAACTGATTCATCACCATTTCCACTTTTACCTACTCCACTTGCTATAAGTGTTCCAAATACTGAAATATGGACTCAAGTAAAGATGTCATGTGAGGTAAATATTTTATAATTGTTTAATTAAATAGAATTGTAAATAATAAATTTATATAATATAAAATGATTGCAACTTCGTTAAATAATGTTTTATTTATTAACTGAGTTAATCATTAGTATTTTTTAAATTATATATCTTCATATTAATAAATGTGATTTTTTAAATTCACATTTAGAAATAATCATGTAAAATAAGGAAATGACTAATTAAATGAATAATCTTAAAAAATAGAAATATTATTCGAAAGCTAATTTATTATAAAATAAATTGATATTTATTACAGACTCACAATGTAATTACTACAGATGGACTTACAACAGAATTAAAAACATTAGCCGTCATAACGTTACTTGTATTTGAATCAGCTTATACCTTAGGTCTTGGACCTGTTCCTTTATTAACTCTCAATGAAATCTTTCCAGCAGTAATTAGAGGAAAATGCATTGGATTTTCTATATTTATTTTATGGCTTATTCATATTTTACTCTTTGAATCCATTGAAAAAATGACTAGTAAGTAATTTATTCCTATTTTATGCAAAATGAATAAAAAATTTTATACAAAATTTATATTTAAAATATTTTACATTAAATTATTAATAAATAATGCAGGCAATTAAACTTAAATACAATATAACTTTTTCAGAAATGATGACACTGGCTGGTACATATTTATTTTACAGTTTTATGTGTCTTATTACAATATTTTATGTATTTCTAGTATATCCTGAAACAAAAGGAAAATCTTTAAATCGAATAGGACAAGAACTGCGAAAAATCTCTATAATAACGCGTATTTGCAATAATGTAAAAAGTCTACCTGCAATTAGTCACATACAGTCAATCATTAAATTTAAAGAAAAGACAAATCAAAGCACACCGATATAAATATTCATTCTATTCACATTTATTATATTAAAACATTTTGATACTGTAAATTGACACGTATTTAATAGTATTTCTAAAAAATACTTTCTAAAATATGAAATATTTCATACTTAAAAAATTATTAATGTTAATTTTAAAATATAACTTGTGTCCGAGTGTACTGATTTTACATACAAATTCTATATATATATCTTTACAATATCTTTTCAAATTTTAATTTTAATTTGTAGCACTGTAAAAAAAAAGATTATATATTAATATAAATTAAAAAAAAGAAAATAATAAATATGAAAAGAAAAAATAAATATAATAAAATTAAAAATACTAAATTAAATTTAATATTACATATTACAATAAATATTTTAAAGTGAATTTAATGTATTAGGAATTTTTAAGAATTAAAGACCTTCAATTCTTCCTTAAAATATAATTATGATTTATCATGAATAATAATAATTATTACTATTACTATAATTTATGAAAGATTTTATTAACAAGAAAGATAATGATAATCATGCAAAACAAAAATTCCAATTTCTAAATGAAAAATTTATTTGAGAATTTCAAATTTGTAAATCAATTCTAAAACATTAATTATTTTAAGTACTTTATATCTTTTAAACTGTTCTTCTACTCTGTTTATTTTAATTAGAAAAATCTGATTTTAGATATTGAATAGTTCTTATTTTAAGTTATAAATATATATTGAAATAAAAGTACTAGTCATTTTACTATTTAGGAAAAAATGATTGAATTCTAAGATTATACTTTTTTATAATTTATTAACATAAAAATAAGGCAAACTTTATATTTGGTTTTATTTTTAGTATAACTTAGGCAACAAATTATACATATTAATACATTACTTTAAATGGAAAAGTAAGTAATCTTGAAATAATGACACTATAATTAAATTGTATGCAATTATAATTTAAATGTAATAATTCGTATTGTTTCAAATGATTTTAATATAAAATTTTTGCATCTTATATTTGAAAGTTTAAATATAATTTATTGTACTTTTTGTACAGTAAATCCAAATTTATAATTTTTAATATCGTATAAAAAATTTGAATTAATATATTATTAATAGAATTAAATTTATTGTAAAAATTTAAAAATTTTATATATAAATATATTCGAATTATTCAAACAAATAAATAAAATAATTTATATAAGCACATTAAAAGTTTTATTTCTTAATACCAAAAATTTTATAATTTTATAAATTGATTCTATCATATGCGATAATTTATAATACACATTTTTTTTTATTTGAATATTTTATATCAACAGAAACTATAGATTGACATAAATTCACATAAAAGTCACAATAAACTATAGATAAAATAAAAGGATATATATGCAAGTTTTTTAAAACATAAAGTATAATTGCTTGTAGTGACAAATATTTTCAGTATTATATAACATTTTTTGTTTTAACAACCTTCTTTTAATGCTTGTACTACCTACATTAGATATCGAAATTGATTATTGAATAACAATTTACTAATATTTTACAATATACTTGGTTGATTTTTCGTTATTAAAGATAAAAAGCCGAAAAAATAAATATATACTTTATATTATACAATTATACTATTCACAAAAATAAGAAATTTAATTATTATGAGAATACCAACACTTTTATTGCATAAAATATTTATAGAAAAATGACAACATCACTATTTCATTGGGAACTCAAAAATATATACGACTTATAATTAATTTGGTTTTAAGACTAAAAGTAGTCTTTTTACTTTAACCTTGGAATCTAGAAGGCGGCAATACCTGTTTCAAGAATAAACTTTTCTTTTCTCGCATAATTACCTGAATTTTTAACTATCAATTTAATTTTTTTTATTATAGTGCAATAAAGAGTTGATAGTTTCAAAATCATAACATATAATCGAAACTCATTTATTTAATGAGCCGAACTGTAGCTTATTTCAAGTAATTTTATCACACATTGAGGAAACAATGCAAACAATTTTTTCAGTGGATTACTCAAATCGTTCTGAAAGTAATGAAAACTATCGTCTTGCTCGGTTTATTATTTTTCGTTTTTTGTCATTACTTCAAGATAACACCTTCAAATAATTCGTGCTTTGCCCTAATAAAGAGTATGATTCTTCAAAAGTAATATCAACAACATATCGTTTATAATTTCGTTCATTAAAATGAATGCAACTTTTTATGACTACAGAATTTGCAATTTCACTATAATCATTAGCTTTACATTTAATAAGCACCGAACTTTTTTGTGATAATAAATCTACATTTGTCAAGGATACTCTAACTTCTTTATGATCTATATAACACTGCATCTTTATAAATCTATATCAAATCAGGAAAATCATCATTAGTGCATTAAATAATATATTAAAAGATACTGATATAAATCTTTTATCCTATAAGTCAAAATTAATCTTGATAATATTAAAATTACTTTTAAATCATGTATAGAGTAAATTTATTAATATGTATCTTACACACATATATACCTGCTGTTATATAAACATTATAAATTGATTTAAAGTATCTATTATTAAGGCAATTTTATATAATTTAAAAAATAAAACTTCATTAAATTGAAATTATTAAAAAAAAGTATTCATTTTGTACTTAACATCAAGCACCTTCATCTCAATATATACATTATTGTCCAATACATCATTGCTGCCACAAAATTGAGAATCTGTTTTTGAACCGTAAATAGGTGAGTCAGAAAATATAATATTAATATGATATTAATCAGCAGAACCTTGTCCATCAAATCATTTAAACAATCATTTATCATGTCTGTAATAATACAGAGCTTGTTGCTATTTACACCTGATATAAAAGAGCCAAACCAAAGCTCGCAATTATTGAGTGACGTTGCTCCAGTCAATGACAAAGAATAAATATACATAGTGTCTGTGATTATGTATATGCGGGTTTACATGATTCTAAATCCAGCTCAATCTCTGAACAAACATATCAATGTTTTCGATGACTTAAAAAATTCGTGTTAGTACCTTGATTTTTTTAAAAGTCTGTTGAAAAATTAACACTGTATTTATCAAATTAAGTTTTTATTCAAGTTTCATTATGTATTTTCTCGATTGAAACATCAGTACTGGTAATTTTCTATCTTCTAAAAATACCTGAAAACTATAACATTGTTTTCACCATTTTTCACAAAATTTTCATTCATCATTCCTTTTTCTAATTCAATATTTCACATAATATTTATTAAAAGGCATTTATTATCTACTGTACGATGTGATGCGCTGCTCTTATAACTGGGTTTAGCAATTTGATATAGTAAAAATTGATTTTACAATATAAAGTTTTATTTTAATTGTTTTATCAATTTATTTATTTAAAAATTCTTAATACAGTGTTAATATAGAAGGAAAATTTTAAAACTAAAATACATTTTATATACTCCATCAACTATTAAATAAAAAATAAAATATAATAAAAAATAATGATGTACTACTATTATATCATATTAATACTATCATAATCATACTAATAATATGGTATAATGTAGTAAACAATGTATAAAGCCAGTGATTTATAGCATATATAAAAAATAATTAAACTATTTATTGTGTTACAATATATTTACAGCTTAAAAAGTGTTGTAAAAGATAAATAAATTTCAATAATATTATTAACTAACTTTTACTTGGATTAGTTTTATAAGATACCTCTGAACAATTGTAAATGCCTTTAAAAATGTAAAAATGCATAAACATATTTGTCTGGAAGATATGTTTAAAAGATAAATGATATATAGTATGAGATTCTGAATTATTATGACAGAGTAAATATAATATACACACACATGATATTTTGGTTTGCTATCAATCTAAAAAAAATCAATAAAGTATTTTTGTTGTAAACATAGACTTAGACTTTTGTATGTAAACTCTTCCACTGTTGTTAAACAAAGAATTCATCATTTATTGAATGATCCACACCATCATTTCTAATATATAAATTCCTATAAATTAATATCTATTAAATCTATTTAATAATGGATATCTTATAGTGACACAAAACTCAATTTGTACATATTTGCTTAATTTTAGTTAAATTAATAAACTAATAACTATTAGTGTATAATTCATTTAATTAATTTAATAACTTAAATCATGCTTTAAAATGAATTTATTATAAATTATATTTTATACCTCAAAATGTACTATGTAACTACTAATCAGAATAAAATAAAAGAATTTACCAAAAATTACAAAAATTATAAACATATTGCAAATCAAACTAAGTCAGCAATTTTAGATACAAGCATTCCATCCAAAACTCCTAAATCATCATTGAAGAAAATTAAATTGACATATATCCTATTTCATTTTGTTTATTAACAGTGCACATACAGGTAAACCCCATGCTAATGAATGGAGATACAAATAATGAAGCACTTATAAATATGTTTGTAAATATATACTTATTTCTTATATAAATTTTATTATATTTCTATTTATGTATTTATATCTGTTTAATCAAAATTTTCATATTTTATACTAATCAACTAACTACGTGTATTAAAAAAAAATTGATACATTTGCACAAATAGTCACATTAAAAATGCAGCAATAGAACTTACTCTCATAAATGAATTATAATATGCCAATATAAATATATATGATAAAATTATTTTTGACAAATTTAATTTTAACAAATTAATAATAATAAGTTAACAAAAAATAATAAATATCAATTATTCACTATAAAATAATTATACAAATATTTCCAATTATTAACAAGTAAGCAATAGAGCTCTTGAATGAAAATTATTTTGTATTAAAGATAATATGAATGTATCTAAAGTTTTCTGAGTTACTTTTACTTTAAATTAATATACAGTTCTCTTTGTGATATAATTGATTTAGTAAATATTTTCATTAGATGTGAATGAAAACATATAATTCCAGTTTTAAAATGAAATATTTCTTAAAGAGAATATTACATAAAATAAATTCTTTTTATAAAAAATTTATAAACACAGTCCTATAAAAAATATTTTCAATAATAAAACAATGTAATATATTAATGATTATTCAGAAAAGATGATTTATTTTAAACCATATTAACTTTGAACATTCCATATTTGCATTAAGATATTATATTGATTTCATATACATTGATGTTATTGTGCTTGTTAAATTTTAATTAAAAATAATGTATTATTGTTCTAGTATATTTATGTAATAAAAACTAAAATGTTTATCTTACAAATAACTCTAATTGTTTTAAGTTCTAATTGATTTTTATATTTATTTTAAAATATTGCACTACTACTTGCTTATAAATTATATGTATAATTTATATAATAATTATAGGATACAAAAAAAAAAAGTACATGAGTCAGAAAATACTATTTACTATTTAAAAAATTATAGACAGTATATAACATAAATATGACACTAGATAATTAAATCGCCTTACCAATGTTGAATCAGTATCTGAAAAGCTCTTATTACAAATCACAATGTAATTGAAAACTGCTAAACTTTAAATTTCATTTATTGACTTATGTAGTTCATGTACTATTATATTTTTAAATTTAATTCTCTTAAAAGTAAATATGATTACTTTATAAAAAAACAGAACTCACATATTATTTAAAAAATACTGTATAGTATTAAGTAAAATACAAAAAATTAATAAACTTTTTATATACGTATTAAATTAATTAATTTTTAAAAAATAAGAAAATAATAAAAATCAAAATTTATTTCATATTTTTAATTGATTGTATTTTACCACTATTAATAATTTCTTTATTAAGATTTGGACATAATTTACTTATTAATAAAATACATTGATCAACTTTAATAATAATTTCCTTGCTATTTGTTTGAAATAAAGCACATTTATAACGAAGCTTCAATAATAAACTGTACATTACAATATAAAAGTTTTCTCCTTGTGGTTGATATATTAATAAAAAAGTTTTAATACATTCTAATGTTCCATTAATAATAATTAAATCAATATTATTTTCACAATATTCACTTAAAATTTGAATCAATCTATTAGACCATTTACCTAAATTAATATATGTCAAAAATTTTGAGAGACATGTAATATAAGCATATTGATACTGATGATTAGTTTGTAATTCCATATTATCAAAAAGAATAGTTAATATTTCATCCCATTTAGTCCAATTGAAAATAGTACTTTTTTTTTCATAACAATCAATATTAGATATTAAACTTGAAATACAAGAATACAGAGAAGTCATCATAATTGATTCTACTTTATAAGATATTTTTTTTAGAGCTTGAAAAATAACTTCATCATAATTAAAATTTTTTAAAATTTTGCTTTTTTGACAATGTTCGATTATTATACTTATACATTTTAAAGCTAACATTTGATTTTCTTGCACATAATCATCAACAATTATTAAAGCTGTTGGTACTATGTCCTGTATATAACTTTTTAATAGAGGTTTTTCACTTAATTCCAATAACCATTTATAACAATTAACAGCAGCTGGAAAACATTTCCAAGTATCTTTTAGCAATTTAGGTCTTAAAAACTTTATAATCATTATAAATATTTCATTATTTTTAAGAATCTCAGTTATATTTTTACTTTTAAAAATTTTACAAATCCTAAATATTAATAATTCAGATAACTCTATAATTTTATAAGTATTCCATGCACTTTTTTTATGTTGTTCACCAATAATAACTATAACCTTAATTAAATATTCTGTAGTTCTTTTACTATACTGAACTTCATTTTGTATAATAAAATCTAATAACAAAACAATGCGATGAAGATTATCTGTTATTATATTTTTAAAATCTTGAAAATCTTCTTCTATACATGGTCGTATTATTTGATTTGAAAAATGTGGCACTAAAGATCGCATTAAAATTTTATTGAATTCATACAAAAATTCTTCATTTAGTTGTTTATCTTTCATATTTTTATGGTATTTAAAAATTAATTAAACAATCATTCATCCCACCCCAACGTTTATAGAATCTGAAGTTAGTATAAAGTTGGCATTTATATATGGACATGAATGATCTCTCGTTCGTGTACTAATTTAAACTTTTTGATATTTATATAATATAAAATATAAAACATACGAATTTATTGTTTAAAGCTTAATATTAACACCAAATAAATTATAAATATTATTACCTTTACAAATAAATTTTGCTTTTCATTGTATCGTCTTTTTCATTAATGTATGCGTTCAAAAAATCATCTAAACAAATCTTAAACTTTAGAACGCATATTTATTACGTTTTTTAAATTGATATTTTTGTTTGTATTGTAAAAGTAAAGTTAATTGCATAATTAATATCAAAATTATTAACATTGTATTTAATAAAAAAAGCAAACATTTTCGTAACCATAAAACCATAAAACGAAGCGAATTATCAAAAACTGAGAATATAATAAAATAGAATATATCGTTTATGCAAACCGAAGTTTTAAATTCAAATTCTTTAACATAAAATTAAATTATCCTTTAACCGATAATATTTTATAATACACTACTGTTATTTTATATTTTTGTGATATATAAAAAATATTCGAACAACTGCAATTATTATCGAGTAAAATTGAAAAAACAAAAATTAATAAAAATTTAATCCATTTTTTATCTAATCTTATCTAATAAAGATAATAGTAAATAATTAAAGAAAGAGTATTTATGTATTATTCTATAATACATAGCTTCAGAGGCAATATATATAAAATATTATTACAAGAGACAAATTGATTTTCACATAACTGTAAAGAGTAAAAAATTTAAAAAGTTGGAAGAATGCTTTGTTAGAATTGAGTAATTTATCTGATAAAATAAGTCATCTATTAAAAACAAACAAAAAAAAATAAAAAAATTACCATATAATAAAACAATGGGAAATGGAGAAAATAAAAAATTGAATAGATTTGCTCTAGCATTGGCAATATATAATTTTTTGTATAAATAATTATTATAAAAAAATAAGTATTTATAAATCCCTAAATATTTTAAAAATATTTTATTATATATTATATGATTAGTTAAAAATAAAAATAGCTATAAGCTTTATAATTATTTATTATATTATTAAATTACTTTATTTTTGAACATTTCAATTTCCGATCAAAATTGATTTATACTATAATTAAACCAATATAAAATTAATCATTGATTCTGATATATATTATATTCGTGAATTATAAACATGTATATTAAAATTATAATTAATAATTCTAATATTTATTAAGAATTGAAAACTAAATTTATTACAAAAATATTGAAAAATTGTAATTTAAACAATTTACAAATTTTGTAAATAATTAATATTAAATATTACAAAATAATTTTTATAGAAAACGTATAAAAATAAATATTATAAAACTCATTTATTTCATACACATTAATTTTTATATTTAATAAATTCAAGGATGGTTTCGCTGCTTTATATATATATTAATTTCTAGTAAAACAATTAAAAATAATTTTTTCATTCAAGAAAAAATACAATTTTTAAAAGTCGAGATTTGATTAAAATAAATCTTAAAGATAACTTTGTTAATTTTTTAACTGAATTCATAAAAAATATAAATTTACATAAATACATAAAACTATTATAAATATATAATAATGAATGTAATCTCTTAACGTTTTTAGTATTTAATAAAACAACTTGTCTTGTACATTACTTGATGTTTAATTTAATTTAAAAAATAACTAGATATGAATATAAAAGATAAACTCCTGGAATGTAAGTAATTTTATTTTAGTATTATTCTTAATTTACAAATAATTATCAGGGAATTTAATCAGGGAATCATAGAGCTACACTGTATTTACGTGTGTAATTCTAGAGTTTTAACTCGTACAATTTCAATTTAATATTTATTTTGTTTTTGTTAATAAAGAGAATTAATAATTAACAATACAAATAATAACAATTATGAACAATAGAACACATAAAATTAACATATAATATTTACTAAAAAAAATTATATTCAAGCAACTAATAACAATTAATAGGTAATTAAGAATTAAAAGTATTTTATATTAAATAATATAATGCTTAAGCAGTAAGTTTTAATGTATACTTAAGCAATATTTTTATATTTAACATTTACTTATTATATTTATTGAATTATTATAAGCTATATTAAAATTTTTATAGTCTCCTAAAATAAAATAATATACATTTTTTTAATATATCTTAAAAAAGATTATTATTTATTTAAATATACATTGTAATAATTAAGACATTCTTGTCTGTCTACTTAATACAAAAATTTAATATTTATAATGTTTTTTTATTTATTTCTTAAGATATATAATTTATCATACTATCTTTAATTAAATAATAAAAGATTTAACTATAATAAATAATATACAATCATATTTTTAAAAAACCATTACAATATATATTATCATAAAAGAATCGATTAAATAAGACATTAAAGAATTCAGAAGTTTTTATATTTATACTGTATTTATATTTTTTACTATTACTTCATTTTAAATAATAATCTTTTGTTTGGTTATTGTAGTACTTTATTAATAAAAGTTATGCAGGTTGTGTAATTTAATTTTATATGTAAATTTCTATTCGTTTTAATATTTTTTTAAACTCATAATTTCTAATTTATGACATATATGCTTGTAAAAAATCTACAATTTAGTATTATTAGTATCAAATACAATGTATTTGATTATATAATCACATAATATTTTTAGTTTCTGTAATTGGGTATACGTACACGCGCATATTATTGTTCGTGATTAGTTTCATTCCTGTAACAATTATAAAACGATATATAAAACATGTTCATTATTAAAATAATTAGTTGTATTTAAGATAATTTAATATTTTTATTAATTAGATTTGCTTAAAATTAAATTTATGTATTGTTCTCAATGAAGTTAAATACAGTTTAAAGTTTTTATTTTAAATTTATTTGAAATAAATGTTAAATATAATTTAGAAAAAAATTAATTTAAAATCGTATTTAATAATACCTTTACAACTTTTATTATTACTTATTGTATATACTTAATACCTAATGAAAAATAATAGATATTTTAATAATTATCTACTCTTATAAAATTAATATTTTTTTTATCAATTTTATTATAATTACATTAAACAATTGAAAAAATTATCAGAAATAATTTCCAAGTATAAATTCATGAACAATTAATTGCTCAAAATATAAAAACATTAATAATTTTTTTAACTAAAGTTTTTAATTTACATCAGAATATCAGTAAAAACAAAACTTAATTTATATTATGTCCGCAATTTCCCAATTGTTAAATATGTAATAAAATATGATTCAAATAAAACAACAATGTATACATAATTAAAAAGGTGTTTATATTATTAAATTTGAAATGAAAATAATTTATCTTATTTAAAATTCTTTGTTATTGTAATTTTAATGTTTGTTTAAAAAAAATATAGTATTAATATGTTTCAATTTTAAAAAATACTTTATGCCTTGGCACTTTATATTCAACATTAGTATTTTTTAGAATTAACTTCCATAATATTGTTTAGTAACAGAATAAGTTTTGTTTTATACTATAACACGATTAATCGTATTAATTATTAACTTAAATGTTTTGTAAAATAGTTTTTAAATATATTTATAATATCAAATTCTACTTCTACATTTGAAAATCTATTTGTTACATTTCTGAACTTCAACAAATTAACTACAAATAAATGATCTTCAAAGTCTACTTTACTTTTTAGGGTGAAAAGTAGTTAATAAGCATCGTATTTTATATTTTAATTTTTATCTAATAATTTTCCATGATATAGAAATTTAAAGATAGGTACAAAAATAGTATTATTTAAAAGGTTCTGTAACGTAATAAAAAAGGTTCTAATTAAAAAATATTAAAAAAGTAACATGCCGAAACCCGGGATTGAACCGGGGACATTTAGATCTTCAGTCTAACGCTCTCCCAACTGAGCTATTTCGGCTCATGAATGAATTTAAAAATTGTATTAATATAATTCATAAAACTAATTATTTATATAATATTTATTATTTTGATAACAATTATTTATCAAAAATACGAGATATAATAAAATTTAGTAAAATAATAAATAATTATATAATAATAATAAATAATAAAAATAATTAAAAAATGCAGACGTTTAATTAACTTTGTGTATAAGTCAAAATTATTATTAGCTAATAAAATAAATAAGCATACAAATACATTATTTATATTTTAAATAATATAAAAATAATACAAAAATTTTACAAATTATTGATTATTAATATAATTAATTACGTTTTTAAACTGATTGTTTTCATAGAATAAAAAAACAAAAGCATTCACCAAATAAAGTGCAAACAATTATTTACTTAATTAAATTACTATATTTCATACATTCTCGATCTATATATTTTTTACAAAAACAATATTTTATTTTGCAAATAGTTTGATTGTTGAAGATCATACTTTATCTCTCTCTTTTTTTCTCGATGATTATTCAATACAAATTTACCCAGTTGTAAATAGCATATAATATATATATTTTCCTTCAATCATTAAAAGATGAATAAATTTCATAAAAACGATAATGTACTTGCTTCCATCTTTTATTTTCAAATATGTAGAAACTAATTTTCATTTACGATAAAAACGTTAAAAAATTTATTTATTTATGCAAATTGATAATGTATCTTCATTGTGCTTGATTATAATACAGTACTTTTTCTTATTTTATTTATACATTTAAATACTTATATGATCTTACGCATTTATATACTTGTATATATACTTAAATACATTAATGCTTGCATAAATATGATTTAAATTCAATATAATATGTGTATCTTAATTTTTAGTTTTTTAAATACTTATTCGACTCACTATTTCAAGTAATGAATAAGTATCTTAAATTTTAATTGTGTAATTAATATTTACATATTTAAAAATATATTATAAATGTGATATAAATGTTATTTACCTTTTACCTTTATTTGATTTATTTATATAATAATAAAATGAAGTATTACATATATATGTAGATATGGACATT